CACAGCTCCAGGGATCTGTTGAAGATTTGTGTGAAGACCGGAGCCAGCTGGTCAGCGCAGACTTTCAGGCAGGAGGGGGACACTTTGTTGGGCCCCGCAGATTTCTTGATCTTCTGCTGCTTGAAGAGCCGTCTCACGTCCTGTTCGTAGATCTGTAGTGGAGAAAAAGAGGGTGGGGCGGTAGATAGAGTAGTTTCTGGTAGAGGTGGGTGTGTGTGGGAAATAGGGGTGTCCTTTTCAAATCGGCAGAAGAACATGTTTAGTTCATCAGCAAGACCCTTATTGTTCACTGTTTGGGGGGATGGCATTCTATAGTTTGTGATTGCTTTCAGGCCATTCCATACAGATGCAGAGTCGTTAGCAGAGAACTGGTTTTTCAGCCTCTCTGCATAGCTTCTCTTAGCGGTGTTAATTTCCTTTGTCAATTGGTTTCGGGCGCGCTTGTACAGTGCCCGATCTCCACTTCTAAATGCGGCTTCTTTCTCTTTGCTGAGTTGTCTGAGTTTGGGAGTGAACCATGGCTTGTTATTGTTGAAGGAGCGGAAAGACTTCGTTGGTTCGTTTTGCTCAAGCACCAGGAGCGAGTGTTCCCTGAGAGAAAGGAGTGCATGATTGTTTGGGTGAAACAATCTTGTTGGAAACATATGCGCATGTCCATTGGGAACGGGGTGTGGGATTGCTTGAGCAAAACGTGATTATTTTGAGAGTCATATGTGTATAAAACACTTGTTATCGAAGAAGAAGGCTGTTCGGTGGTGCCAGAGAGTTTGGGCCGGCCACCTCCCGTCTGTGGCACACGAACATTTGAGTGTAGAAAAGAAATTGGGAGATAAACTCTGGTAGAGTCTGATGTGGGTTGTGTACGGACGCCCAGCTGGTTGGATGCACGCTCTGCCGGGGATGTTGGCTCTCCTTCCCAGTGTGTTACAGTGAAAGTTTGATTGTACTTATTGCATTTAACCAACTTGTGATTGTATTGCTGTGTTGATTCTTTGTGGCGGAATAAATTATGCTCATATTCTAGCAAAGTTCAGTGTCTTGTGTTCATTTCTGTGTGTCTATTCTCAACGATCCTGCTTGAGTAAATAACAAAATATTGGAGTAACTAAAGATTGTGAAAGTGTTTCAAAACATTTTTTGGCGTTGTCGGCAGGATCTGTTTTGAGAAATACATACAGAAATGTCGTGTTGTAGACTACAGGCGCTGTTTAAGCAGGAGGCTGAAACAGACAAGGTGAAAAATGTTGTAGTGCCGGGGTGGGACGTCGCCCCTGTTTGAGGAATTGGGCTGCTCCAGCGGAGGCATGGAGGAAGGCCTGAGCCATGGGGAGGAGTGCTGCAGACAGCCACCCCCGATATGGTGTTGAAAGCTTTGCAAAAAAATAAAGGTGAATGATAAAGCTCCGCTGGCCAGAGTACAGCGAATGATGTGGGTGTGTGTTGAAGCTTGGCGAAAACAAACAGCTGTTGTCGAAACCCTGCGCATGGCCGACAATGTAAAGGGGAGAGAACTGTTTTTTGTGTAAACAAGAGAAAGGAAAGTTGCAAGCCCGAGTTTTGGAACTTGAAGGGCAACATCGAAAAACACTCGATGTGTTAGAACGTTCTGTGGGTCACATAGCAAAGGTAAATAGAAAAAAGCAACAGAAAAGGAGTTGGAATATCAGCGCTAAACACGTTCGCTCCTTTGTGACTCAAATAGCTGAAGATTGGGATCCCGAACAATGGGATGGCAGTGTATGGGATGATGATGATGACGATGGTGGGTATGATGAAGGGATCCGGCTGGATCCCCCACCCGTGCCGAAGTTATACCCAGATTTGAAACAGATGCAGCCTATTCTACGATGGCGCAAAACACAACAGCATATCCCGCCTATTATGAAACAAGCTAGAGATGGGCAGGGGAATGCTATGTTTGATGAGACTGGCCAGCCGATAATGGTGGCTGTGCCGCAAGCGCAACCTGCCCCAAATATGATGACGTTGGTGGAAGATTATTCACAGGAAGAAATTTCACATATGACAAGCAAGTTACGGCAAAAACAAGGTGAACCACTAGACGGGTGGCCGGCACGCATGGTGGAAGAAGGGGCAGGGGCAGTTTTGCTAGATAACGGAGATGCAATGAAGTTTGCGGGAATGTCTCAGGAGGCGGCTGTAAATACGGAGTATCGGGCTTTTACGTGAGGCTTGGGGGAAGGGGAAGAAATGGCATTGTAATATATCCTATCATCCTCAAGATGCCGGATTAATTGAACGGATGAATGGATTGTTGAAAGAAAATTTGAGAAAAATGACGTCAAACAGATCATAGACTGATTGGAAGAAAAATTTGCCTGTGGCATTCGGACAATTGAACAATCGACCTGTGGGGTCAGGCATGACCCCTCTCATTCGAATGATTCGGGGGGAGGACTTGCCACAGACAGAGAGCCCAATTAAAATGTGGGAAATAAATCCAAGAGCTGAATTGCCTACCAGAGCTACTCCTGGATCTGCGGGCCTGGATTTGAGAATCTTTGAGGTGAAATTCAAATTTTCAAAACAGGACTAGGGTTACAATGTCCCATAGGGACTTATGGACATGTGTTGCCCAGATCTGGACTGTCATTACAAGGATTGACCATCCAGGCTGGAGTAATTGACGCTGACTATTAGGGTGAAATTGGAGTGGTATGCAAACTGTTTGGAAAACAACCCCTAGTTTTGACACAAGGGGACAAAATTGCCCAATTGGTGATTAAACCCTGTAACATGAGTCAGGTGATTGAAATTCCAAAACCAATTGTACTCACTACCAGAGGAGACGGTGGCTTTGGTTCCACGGATAAATCGGGAGCCAAAGTATGGGTGAAACAACCCTTTGGTCCCCCTCGTGCAGCTGAAATAATTGCACAAAGGAATGACGCAAC